GGGGTGTTTGATGGATGGAAAGATATTCAGGGACAGACTGGGGAGTGATTGTGCATGATGTATCCGTATCTAGACTCTGTCGGAGGCTGTTCCATCGCTTGATGGCTTCCTTGAAGAGAAGTTACGTGGAATATACCACCAAACATGATCAAATCAGGAATAACTACTTTGTAAAAGCCCGAGAATGCTCTTTCCAGCACCATTCTATTCGTCTCAATCCTCAAGTTGTTCTTCTTCCAGGGTAGCACAGAAAGCCAAACTGCCTTGACGAGAGCGACATCGCAGAGGATCGCTAGTAAACGGGGAGTACGTAGTTAGTGTCCGAGAGGACTTTCAATCCGATTGGCCCCCTTTTCGCAACAGCAGGAAGGTTACAAAGAGAAACCTGAATGTAAGTTTAATGGTGTCTGTTAGTCAAACTGACAGTGTACCTGCTGATCACTGTGCTTGACGATGGTACGACAAGTCTAGGCTTCGCGAAAAGAAAATCCTTATTTCTGGTACTCTTGCCAGAGGTGAGAATGGATACAAGACAAAAGATTTCCAGGTATCAAAGCAATCAAGCTGTAAATCAACCACTAAGGTAGATAGATGGAATGTAGCAGGAGTACGGAGAAGTGGACAATAATTGAGGGCAGCAGAGTTCATGGGATCAGGCCTCAGGGACAGACCCTGCAGCCTCAGGGACGCACAGGCTCTGATTGGCTGCTAGTTCATGCACTTGGGACCCCCCTAACTCCACTGGGATTAGTGGGGCACGAACCACCGGGGCAAAACAGCTTGTGATTGGTGCACAGAGCGGGCCCAGTCGGCCCGAATAGGGATAGATTTCAATAGCCTCGAGGTTATCCCAATCGGGAAGTCCGTTGCTTCATCCATGGAGCGTTCCAGGATTCATTCGCTACTTGCGACTCGCTAGCGTAGCGCCAAAGGAGTCAACTCCGACTCTTGGGGTCTGGAGTTGGCGCGAATGCGATTATGGGCTAGTCTACAGTAGTCCTCGTGTTCGACTTGGGGCTGGTCCCTTTTCCTCGCTCGCTTTCACTTCCCTTCTTCCCTCCTTTCTCTATCCATCCCCTCTCCGTATCTGGTGGTGGTTCTCTTCCCTCTCGCTCTTCGGAGTAGTCACTCGTTCTATTGCTATTTTACTGACCCTAGTCTTTCGTTTCCGGCGTTACGCTTCGATCCGTAACATCACCTCCATCCGTCACTTATGATTAAGGGAGAGAAAAGTCGTCAGGATGAGAATTGATATGGTTTCCGGCGCGTCTGCGCTGCTGTGGTTCGTCGCCAGCGTCGAGGCATCCAAGCATGCCCATCTACACCACTCGAGACATCAACACGGCAATATCCACTCGGTTGCTGAAGCGGGAGCGCCATTGGAGAAGAGAGGAGGGCAGTGCGAGTTCCCGTCCGATGCCGGTTTAGTCGCGGTGACTCCGAACATGAAGAACGCCGGTTGGGCGATGAGTCCCGATCAGGCCTGCGAGCCGGGCAACTACTGCCCGTACGCTTGTCCCCCCGGCCAGGTGTCGATGCAGTGGGATCCCGATGCGACCTCGTATTCCTACCCCATGTCCATGGTGAGTTTTAATCGGTGGCTCCATGCCGACAGGATGGTTCTGACAGGCTCCGTGTGCTAGAATGGCGGTCTCTATTGCGATGAGGACGGTAAGATCAAGAAGCCCTTCCCCGACAAGCCGTACTGCCAGGACGGCACGGGTGCTGTGGGCGCGAAGAACAAGTGCAGCAAGCAGGTTGCTTTCTGCCAGACTGTGCTGCCTGGGAATGAGGCCATGTTGATCCCCACTCTGGTCGAGGAAATGGCTACTCTTGCCGTGCCGGACCTCAGCTACTGGTGTGAAACGGCCGCTCAGTAAGTGCATGCCAGCGATAAAACCACGCCCTATTTGGTACTGATCGTTGTCAGCTTCTATATCAACCCTCCTGGCTATGACACTGAGACCGCTTGTGTCTGGGGTACTTCTGCCAGCCCCATCGGTAACTGGTCACCTTATGTTGCTGGCGCAAACACCGACGGAGACGGCAACACATTCTTGAAGATCGGATGGAACCCCATCTATCTGGAGCCCGCCACGCCCTTCCGCGACGTCGTCCCAGAATTTGGTGTCGAGATCGAGTGCGAGGGCAGCGGTTGCAACGGTCTTCCATGCAAGATCGACCCCGAGGTCAACGGGGTCAACGAGATGATCGGCAGCTCCTCCGTTGGAGCCGGAGGCGCCACTTTCTGTGTGGTGACGGTCCCCAAGGGCGAAAAGGCCAACGTTGTCGTCTTTGAAAAGTCCGGCAGCAGTAGCGGCAGTGAGAGTTCCCACTCCACAACCGTGGCAGCCTCCACGACCTCGCAACCCAGCTCGAGCAGCACATCCACCTCGTCCAGCAAAGCGTCCTCCAGCACGTCGACTCGTGCTTCGTCATCCTCCTCAGAGGCCTCCGAAACAGACGCGAGCTCGAGCTCGAGCTCGAGCGCCACTGTCACACCCTCTGCCAGCGGCGACCTCAGCTCATCGGCCATGGCGTCCAGTGCCGGACAAGCTTCGGAATCGGGGGTATTCTCGTACACGTACAAGCCTCATGTGTTCGTCGAGCAGTCGGCCTCGGTGGAGGCCATGGCAGCGGAAACGGCTGGTTCGGCACAAGCCACTGCCACCCGGACTTCCAAGGAGAAGGAGGGCGGCGCTGCCGATCTGGCTGTCTCCGTGCTGACTCTAGGGATGGGCGCGGTGGCGGCGATCATGATGAACCTGTAGTGAGCCACAGGTGGCTGCAGCTTACCTACCTTAGTTGCCTCCTGTTGCTGTCACCAACTCCAGCTTAGGCGTGGACTAGCATTTTCGCGACTTCTCTTCGGTGCCTCGACTTATAATTCTTCTCTTTCATTTCTTCGGGATACCCTTGGTCCTATTGAACCATACCATACCATACCATTCTTGACGACTGACGTTATCTGTATATTGACGACCTTTGACCTGCCTATATATTCTTCTCTTCGTCTGCTCATCAGCAGTTTCCTTTTGACTTGGGGATTTGGGATGCATGATTTGATATGTTGTTGCCGATTGAACTGACGATGGGGCTTAAACATACCATTCTGATATTGGATAGTGAGCTGATTTCAATAATGTCTATTATTAGCTAGTTCATGATAAGCTGGAGCAATGTGACATTTTGCATATATGTTATTACTTCCTCTGCAAGGTAGCGCGTTGTTAATCACCTTCACCTAGTCAATCACGCCGGAACAGCGCTGGGGCATATAAGGCAGAACTGTGCGTATCAGACACAGCAGGCCAAAGTACACATATCCCCTTGGCCAGAGAAGGAGACTTCGGTGGTATATGTGAAGGCAGAGACGCATGGAAATACAGTCCCCTAGAGATTTGGAAGCTGCACGGCCAGAAGCTTGAGAAGCATACGATCAAGCACAGAGCCATAAAGTAAGCCTGGTAAGGAGACCCTGAAGGCCTACCATAGAACAAGAGTCAAAGGAGTGATAGCTCCATTGATGGCCCCTGGAATTCAAGGGACTGTGGATCATTGACCTGGTACGTTAGCTGATTAGACTCCGAACAATGGGCAGGATCAGGACTTGAACATACCTTTATGAGTAGTGACCATTACAATAAAGTCCATTAATAGCTAGTTCACGACACTGGAGTAATGGACGTATTTTTGATGGATGCCGTGAGGAGCAGGAGTGGAGGCAGCCATCCCTTATCAACTTATCAGTCCATCGTGCAGTGAACTCTTGACAGCCTTCATCCCTCAGCCCATCCAGGCCCAACACAACCAGATCAGCAACATTCAATCTCACCATGCCTCCTTCAGTACAAACAGTAAGTCTTATCAAAGAAGATCACAATCAACCCCCCGCCTCCAGAAATCTCTCCTATAAACAAAGACACTGCAGCTCTATCCTACCCCGCACATCCCACTCCCCCTCCACCACAACCTCTCCCCAAGAATGAGATACAAACACTAACACCAAATCAAAGAATAAACTAACATCCGCCCTCCGCCTCCTCATCCCACGCCTCCGCCTCCTCCAGAAAAAAGACACCGCCTCGTCCGTCATCCAGCGCCGCGAACTCGCCACCCTCCTCGACGAAGGCCGCGAGTCCTCCGCCCGCATCCGCGTCGAGAATGTCATCGCAACCGACATCGCCGTCGAGGTCATGGAGATGGTCGAGCTGTACTGCGAGTTACTCCTGGCGCGGGCCAACGTGCTCGATCAGCTCGCCTTCGGGGAGAAGGGCGCCCGCGCCCGCAGTCGCGCCAAGGATGCCCTGAAAGCGGAGATGGGGGCGCAGGGCCACGGGCACGGGCACGCTCACCCTCAGGGCGCGTCGTCCGCGGGTGGCGACGCAGCGTCCAAGTCATTCTTGGGGTTCTCGCTTTGGGCGGGGAAGAAGCAGACGCAGGCGCAGGCGCAGACGCAGATACCAAATGCCGTGGAGGGTACGCCGGCAAGAGGCCGCAAGACCGAGGCGGAGGAGGTCGTTGACGACGACGAGAGCCAGAGCTACATTGACTCCGCGCTCGACGAAGCCGCCGCCGTCATCTTCTACGCGTGGCCGCGCTTCCCGCACGACGTCCGCGAGTTGACCATGCTGCGCGGCATGCTCGCCGAGCGCTGGGGTAAGGAGTTCATGACGCTGGCGCAGGACAACAAGCTGCTTGACGTCAAGGTGCCGGAGCGGCTGGTCAAGGGGCTGCGCGTGAAGCCGCCGACGCACGAGCTCGTCGAGAGCTATCTCAGGGAGATCGCAAAGGCGTATGGTAGTTCGTGGGGAGCGGGGGCACAGAGCGAGAGCGAGCTCGGCGAGGCGCCTCCGGCGTTTGTCGGTGACCAGCCTGGAGATGGTGATGGTGATGGCGATGGCGATGCTGCCGTCCCATCCACGCCGACCCGGCCGGTCAACATGGCTGAGGCGCGGCGCGCTTCCGAGACCTCGGAGCTGAATAAGGCGACTCCGCCCCGGGGGTTCCAGTCGGTCAAGAGTCCTGTCAGTGTTGCGCCGCCGGGGCCGAGGTCAGATAACCCCAATCCGCGTGTCAAGGTTCCGGGCAGCGAGACCCAGTCCGAGACGCAGGTTGAGGGGCCTCCCAGGGCGCGGAACGGGAATGCGGGTGGTTCTGGGTCGATACCGGAATTGGATGAGTTGACTCGACGGTTTGCGGCACTGCGGCGGTGAATCACCCGACCTTGATTCGTTCAGCGAGAAGTCATGTTTAATGATTGATGAATTGTTGTTGAGCTGTCGGCTTGAGGCTATGGGTTATTGCCCTTTCCGCGTTGTAGCCATACACTCGAGCGCTGTACTAATGCGAGTGACATCTGACGAATTTATTATTGTATCCATCTAGATACAGTCATCTATAAGATCTAAGCCTTCCAACCCAAGCAATAATGTGCCTTTGCCGTATCATGCATGAAAGGCCCCGTCAAAGCCAACCAGAGATCCCAAACCATATAAGACAGAGAAGCGGAAAATGTCCACGGCATGAAGCAGCAAAAGGTAGTATCAGACAACGAAGCACTAAAGCTAACCCACCAGGCACACGGTGCCACCACCCAGGCGATCAACCCAGCGGTATCACAAATGAGACGCAGAAAAGTATGAGCAAACAAATGGTACACCCCACAGGACACCGGACTATGCATGTGCCCAAACATATGTACAGGACAAGGAAATCGAAACGAAAGATTCATAAACGAGGTAAAGGGTTACCGGAGGTCCTCTTCCTCTCCCGGGAGAAGAATCTCATGGCCGGAACCTTCATAAACAAAGATCGCTGCCATGCATCCGAAGACGGACACAAGAGCGATTAGCCACCAGGCGAAGCCTACCATGCCGATCTCCAGACCATAACCGTACCAGGCTCCGGAAAAAATAGGCCCGATAGTCCGGAAAGCTGAAGAGACCGACTGTCCGATACCGTGAATCGTACCGAGCACCGAAGGGTGCGGTGAGCAATTGTTCAGAAGGATAATCGATGTCGGAAGTGTGAATGTTCGAGCGGTGACTTGCAGGAACAGGACGACAATAATGGAGAACCACACCCACGGACCATTGGCCTGTCCTGGAGGGGGCGTGGATGACGGTGCAAGAGCAATGTAGGGAGCAAAAGCATAGGCCAGAGGGAAGAGAGACAGGAAATATTGGTAGCTCTTGGCTGTACCCAGACGGCCGTTGATTGAAGGGTAGATGGTGAATTGGAGGAGCATGCCGATGACCCCGAGGATAGCTGTGGCGAAGCCAACACTCTGAGGCAACATACCCAAGCCTCCGGTGAAAATGAAAGGAAGTCTCTGAACGGGACTGGCAGGGTCGCTGGAATCATATCTCGGGGTGGATAGGAAAAGCAACCATAGATTGTTGAAGGCACTTGGCAATCGTCAGCAACGGTGTGTGCGCTACATCGAGAGATATCGATACATACCCCATCTGAAAATCGAAAAAGGCCTGGGCGAGGAGTGTGCATAGAACATTCTTCGTCCAGATCCGTCGGAACGGTAACACGCGAGCGTGCCTCGTAGGTTTGGCCGCCTTCTCTTCAAGCTCGTAGCTTTCGGTAGGATCGATCGGTCTGCTCAGCAGTGGACCTTCCTCATCATAGTCGGAGAATGGAAGTCTCGAATACAGGGGCGACGAAGACGGAAAGACAGCCTTCAAACCACGGGCGAAAAGCTTCATGGCGAAAGCGCCCAGGCCGGGCTTTCCCTTGCAGGCTTGTAAAGTCTATTCGGTTTAGTAAAATTCTCGCATCTTCAGGGCATAGATCCATACCTCCTCAAGACCCATTGCGACACACCCAGCGCAGAATGACAGGAAAACGGCATTGGCCAGCATGGGCAACGCGTAGGGGTATTTCATGAGCCACTGCACACCAGAAGCGCCTCCAAACGAAGAATTGGGGCCGAACAACCTTGGGTAACTCTTGACCGGATCCGCAAGCATACCTCCCATGACTGCAGGAGTCAGTGTCAATCGCAAGTAGACTAATGGAAGGACGACAGTGGACTCACCTGGACCAAACAGAGCAGCGATATTAAACCCAATGGGTAGAATCAAGAAAGCACGAGAATGGTACTTCTTCTCCTTGACATTCTCCGCAATCATCGTGCGGATAATGCCCACCGTGCCGTTGATGGCACCGCCAAACGAACGCCAGAACACGGCCTGCGCGAACGACGTCGAGAAAGCGACTCCTAGGCAGGACACCGCCGTGCCTATCAGCCCGACCAACAGTACGAATTTGCGACCGCCCCATTCCGCATCGGCCACTCGACCCCATGGTATCGCCGTCGCGAACTGCGCAGCCGTGAATGCACCCTGGAGGATACCAGCCTGTGTCGAGACATCGGAGTCGGAGAGGGTTTCGTCGAAGGATTTGAGCTGGTAGAACATGTACGCTTGTAACGAGGCGATCTGCAAGAAGTCGAAGACGCGACAGAGACCCAGGAGCGCCAGTTGTTTCTTTCTAGGCAGTGACATCCAGGTGACGGGGCCGGGGCGGGGAGCGGGGGCTCCGGTGGAATGACCCTGGGAGGCATTCATCTGCGCCATACTCTGGGAGCGACTGCGGGCATGACCTCGATTCCATTCCGACGAGCTGGTCTTCATAGCCATTTTCGGGTGGTCCAAGGAGTGCGAGGAAGAGGGGGAAGAGCCCTCGGAGAGGTCTGCGAGAGAGAGGTTGGATTCCCGCCGGCGCCGTGTGTGGGTTGCAGAGGAAGCGTAATCGGCAAAGGAAGGTTCGCCGCCTTGATCGTGACCGGAAGTCCAAGAAGTGGCCCGGGTATGACGGGCATCCCGATGTCTGTTGTTGACAGCGGGCGGTTGGTGAGGATTATGACTATAGGTATTATTATTGGTGGTGGTGGTGGTGGTGGTAAAAGATGGAGTGATGGGGGTGGAGGACGAAACGCTGGTCACGGAAGGCCGCCGGCTACCTTGGGACGCTCGTCTCTGGACATGCACAGGCATCGAGGGCGTGGTTCATCCGATAGGGCGCCAATGCAGGCGACCTGAGACTACGTCAACAGGCTGAGGATTATAAGTAGAAGAATATGGAGTAAAATAAGCCAAATAAAAGATGGTTAGTCGTGGGAGAGGGGCCAGGGGGCGCAGTGCTTGTGATGACGACGATTCGATTCAAACAGAACATGAACGATAGTCCAGGTCAAAAGAGATATTGATCAGACAGCAGAAAGGACAATGGAAAGGCAATCAATCAACATAAGACTACAAGAAAAGAAAATAGAAAAGAATGTCTGTCAAGGAGGACTACGTTGGACCACAATGTAAGAAGACCAGGAGATGAAACGGATGTCAATCATCACCAACAATCCTTCCTCGGAGTAACCCAGAAATCTACGGAGTAGATAGAGTTGATCCACAGTAGACTAAGTACAGTAACACTTATGAGAATAATGAATGCTTTTACACGGAGTACATATGATGTTGAAGCTGATGGTGGCATACATACTCTCTACGGAGTACATCTGAAGCTAATGGATTTGATCCTCATTCTGAGACGTGGCCTCCTTTTGCAGTGACATCTTCTAAGCACTGACTGTACTGAATCTGTAACAATTGACAACTTGCTTAAACTGCAACTCCAAATCCAAATCCACCCAAGTGCTAGACAACTTCTAGTCTACTCCATATGACCAATGTTGATCTTTACGAAATGCCAGACCCATTGGTGTCACCCGTCCGGCCTCCGTCTTCTTGGCATCCGCCTTTTCCTTCAGTAGTTTCCGGCTAAATTGATTCATAATTACTGAGGTATTGAGCTCAGGTATTGAGGTAATTTACCTAGTTACCGTTTACTTGTAAGTCCTACTCCTTAGTACGAAGTAAAAGGTCCAATCTCCCACTTTTCCCCGTCTCTGGTTCCTGAACAACTCTTCCATGGGTCAGCTAATGGAGCCGCTGCTTGGCAGGTCGGGTCAGGTCATTATTTTTGCTTTTCTCTCTGTTTATCTATCTGTTACAGACATCGGTTGATCAACATCCAGCACAATTCAATTTCCATCACTGTTTGAACAGTTTCATACCCTTGATCGCCAAATTCGCCGCAATCAAGCTTTCACCTTTTAATCGTCAGTTCAGATTAACCTCCATTGTTGATGGTCTATCGAGATGCGTAGTTCGTTGTAGAAAGTAGATAGACTACGTGTGGACTTACGTATGCCACCTCTATCTGCCCAGACTAGCCAGACCAGGTAGTGCCTATACGTCAGCTTTCGTGCGCGAGTCAGTCGTTTCGCGTATCACACACATAATCCTGCTCTCGTTCGATTTGTGTATTGTCATCCTGTGACGGGGTGTGTTTTGCGCAATGTGTATTGTATCGTACACGGTGTGAGTCTAATATACGATGAAATTAATATACATACTGGGTATCTATCTAAGGTAGTGATGACGGCCTCTGTTCCGCTAATGGAAAGTAATGATGCGGTTCGTCGTGCGAGGCGATCCATCGTCGCCAGTCCCACCAGCGCAATCCAGCTGCACCGGTGGAAGCTTTTGATTCATGCTCGTGCAAGGACTCGGATGAGTTGCGCTCTTTTGCTCGATGCAAATGCCGCTGTCGGCGGTTGACCCGCAGGATCAAAAACACCCCAATGGCCGCGAGGGCCACCCCCATCACAGGAACGACCCATCCGGCTTGTCCTGAGACTATAGTCAGTAGACAGTCCAAATGACACAGTTGAAAGCAAGAACTTACCATGTAACCCCTTGGCACCTTGCGGAGCGGATGTAGGGGCTGGTGCGCCGGGTTGTCCCAGGTTGTAGTGCGATTCTGGATGTTCCGGGTCTATCCAAGGAACGGAGTTGATTCCCACAGGGGGGATGAACGGTTTCGGGTCGATCTCACCAGGCAAGCCGTATGCTTGTGCTTTGCTGCAGAAATCATCCGCGCAATAGCCTTGCAGGTCCGGCGACGGGATAAAGGTGAACTGGTTCCGGGACTTGCCCAGAACTCTTCCCTGGCCGTCGACTGCTTCCACGTACGACCAGAGGTAAAAGGTCGAGTTGGTGTACGTGGTCTCGAATCCGCGTTTGTCGACTTGTGTCAGAAACTCGTAGGGGCCGGTCGAGTTCGTGGCGCCGTAGAAACGCCAGTGCTTCACGCGCGTTGCGCCGTTCCAGCTCACGTAGAAGGTGGTCGGAGAGAAGCCATCGTTGGTCCTGGAATAGGTCCACAGAGCGGGCACGTCGGTCGGATTGCCCTCCCACTCGAACTTCAGGGCCCGGTAGTTCATGATCCGATCCTTGTCGATGTAACCCCAAAAGACCAGCCTGCCTTGCTCATCGTGCTCGGAGATATACGCATTGTTCCCCCACCCGATCAACACATTCCGGTTCGGCAGCACCTGCATATTCCCCTGACTGGAGCTGATCATGTCGTCATTCAGGGGCTTGTATTCGCGGACCTGTGTCGCCGTCTTGGCTACATGGTCAATGAGGATAATCATGCCGGACGAATAGGGATGCGTCTGGTTGAAGCCGTTGTAGCCGTTGTTGTACAGGGACAGAAGCGTATGGGTGGCGTTCTCGCCGAGCCAGCGCGCATCGTGTTGCTGCGAGAAGCTAAAGTTGATGTTCTTGAAGGACGGATTGGCGCCGTGCAAGCGCCACATGACCGAGCCGTCCTTGCCCGAGATCTTGTAGATGCAACTCGTATGGCGCGAAGAAATAAGATAGTCGCCGTCGTTGTTCTTGTCGACCGAGTTGATATGGAAATAATCCCACGGCGAGCGTGGCTCGAACCCAGTGCCAGAGGTGTCCGTGTGCGACGGGTAGGTGTAACTGACGGACGGGTCGACGTGGTCCAGAGATCGCCATTCGAACAGGACTTGGTTCGTTTCCACATCGATCTCCTGGAAGATGCTCTCCATCAACCAGCCCATACCCGTTCTGACATTCCAGAGGCTCATGTCGAACTGCCGCTGTTGGTAGACCGTCATCAGCGCCGTCTTGCCATCATTGACCAGCCGGAACTCGTGCATATCGCTCGACGCCATCCCTCCCCCTGGGGTGACGGTCTTGACAATGCGATACCGGTTGTCCATAATGACGCCATGACCCCTGCAATACCCATTCTGCTGGATTCCTTGGAAGAAGCACAGGTGGTTCGCTCCCTTGTACTTGCACACGTGCATGCCATGGGCATTTCCTGGCCCCGAATTACCCCAGCCGCTCCATACTAGATTCTGTCGAATATCAGCTGCTCATCCGACTCTACAATTCAAAACGAGATAACGAAAATTCCTACCCCTTCAGTATCATAGATATATGGCCCCGAATTATCCGCCTCGTATGGTCCGAGAAAGATGTACCCCGGACTGAGTTTGTTCGGTACGCTTTTTTCAATGGTGAAGACCGGGGGAAATAGATCGGGTCTCTGGAAATAGCGCCGGAGATGATCGATTAGCTGAGCTGTCTCACTTTACCCACTACCGCTGAAGAAACGTCAGAAAATAGCAGACTTACGGATTTGAACTCGGAATCGACTTCTGCGACGACGAGCTCAAAGCAACATAGCAGAAAGATCAACAGGAAGGAAACGAAGCGAAAGGCCAATGAGGGGGCCAATCCTTCAGATATGCGAGCGAGGAAGATCATGGGTACTTCATATCCCTCGCATTCGGACGGCGGGAGTGTCGAGTGGTCGCAGATGACACCAAGAGGGAAAGGAAGAACTGTATTGAATGATGTGCAGGGTTCAATGATATATACAACACCTCCCCCTGGGGAGAGAAGACGATCGGGAAAGATCTGCAGAGAGACGGCTGACAAGCAGAAGGTTGACGCAGCACTTTAAAGCGTTTCAGTTTCTGAAGAGTAAAGACAATGCTGCTTAGATTCTAAAGACCATGGACCTAGTTATCTAGCTACGTAGGAGTATCCTATCTCTCGATCCAACCTAGACCGCACAGACTCAGCGACTCGCTCAACTGAAAGCAATCCGCAAAGACCAGGACTCAGGTGGGCCATGAGACTTGCATACGCCATCGATTTTCTATCATTGGTCTGATAGAGTTGCGCGGGGCTTTAACCACATAGCATGTCCACAAATGATACCTCACAAGGAATTGATAGCAGTTCTCCTGATAAATAGCCTTACGATGAGACTGACAGTAGAGTTGACATTTGAAGGTCGAGATAGAAATGAAATCATCATCATCGCTGATGGCGCACGTCGACTCAAGCAACAAGCTCCCGCCGGGGCAGATCAGTCCATACACTTCCAAATAGCCCAAATCCCAGACTCTCGAGAACTCGTGGGCATTGCCATCCATCCTGGAGGATCACAGCTGAAGTATTTATAGCTTGACGATTATACTTCTCTTCCTGCGATCATATCTATTCTACAATCAGTACTCCATACTCCGTACCTTATCTCTTACCAAGTATTACAAACCTGTATAAAACACGACCGTATCATACCAGTATCCATGTATCCCGTCCTCAAAACATTGAAAAATCTCATAAAGCCGAGCAGACAGCCCCCCTTGGGAAACGTAATCCGGTAATCCGTATCTATCAACGCCACGTCACGCTACGCCAGTTAGCAGGGGCCACGGCGTCAGTACTACGCAGTAGTCGTACTGTGGCTGAAGCCCCCCCACTGCATTTACCGTACTCGTATGAAATAGTTCGTACTTGATCCCGGTTTGGCGAGGGGAGGACAGGGAAAGATCCATGTCGGAGCACGGAGTTAAGTGCCCCTGCAAGCAGCTTACTCTGTTTGGAAGCAGTGCGTACTCCGTACTGCACAGGCAGTTTGCATAGGGTTACGTACTGGACTACGTACGACCTTAAGAGCATCTATCACTGGAAGCCAATCGAAGAGGCACGCATTGGATTTGGATTCTATTTACTGTGGTCACTTGTGAGATCGATGGTTGACGTTGACACCCTATCCCTCAAGGTAGTGCAGCAATCTATGAATAGTAATCTGCAAATATCGTATCCTTGATTGAATCACAAGCCACAAATTGCCTATTCGAGATTCACCCTGAAGACATGTTCTATTCTGTACGGTGTACACTGACTTGACGAGCTCGGGTATCCGGCATGACTGAAGGCCAAAATACACACCTGACAACTAGGAACATTACTCCTCAATTCTTGTCAATAATATCCTCCAACAAGACAGGGAATACCTGTCTGCCTAGGACACCAAGAAACTACTCCTGTAGCCAAGCACACGAGTCAGTAAAGAATCCCTGTACGGTGATACGTACTCCATAGGGCTGCCCATCTCGCATGTTATGTCTCAGCCAAGGCCGTTAACCTCCCAACTTTCAGGGATAAGATCCCTACATAATAGCGAATGCCGAGCTTCTTGTACATGTACACAGGCGGCCAAGAAATGGCAGGGCTGAAGGAGTCAAACATCATAGGCTAAGGAATGAGCAATCTATTCCGAATTCATTGAGATAACCAGGCAGCAGCATTTTTGGATATATCTTCTAAGAAAAGAAGGTCTGAACTCTCGCTCTATGAATTCCAGCCATCGAGCCAAGCAATTTCTCCACCGCCGCAGCTATAGTCAGACCACGACCAAATGGGAAGACATCATTTGTCAATTGTGGGTTGAGTGTCATACCCCGAACAAAACGAAGGTGGGCAAACCAGAGGCAACATTAGGGAATCAACATAAACATATTTTGCGATAAAGATTAAGTAATGCTCAAAGCCCGAAACGTGGGGCAGGTGAAAGATCAATGGCGCCAGCGCACATGACGGAGGAAATAGAAAGAAAGAAAATCATTACCGGGAGAAGCGCTTGAAAATCATGGCAGCGGCAACTCCAGTCGCCAGCAAGGCTCCACCCATGGTGAACGCCTGCAGAGCGGCGTTCATCATCTGGCGCCTGTTGCGAGTGCGGCAGCGGTTGAAGAAGTCCGCCATGTCGTTTCCACGGGGGAAGGGTGTGTCAGGGACCTCCTCGCCCAGGAACTCGCACAGCGGTCCCCAGCCGTCCTTGATCTGGTACTCGAGCAGTCTCTCCGGGGGAACCAGGCTGCGAACCTCCTCCACGTGATCGAGGTAGACCTGCTTGCCCTTGTTGGGAAAGTCACCGCGGAAGAACGTTTCGAAGAACTTGTTCAGCATGGGGTAGTACATGCTGGCAGCCCAGCTGAAGTGGGAAACGAAGCGGTGTTCGGGGTCAGTGACACGCCAGTGAACGGTCTTCATGACGGAACTGCAGATCGAGTCAGACTGAACTTCTCTTCTGAATAAGCACATAGAGCAGTACATACGCATGCCACGAGTCCACATCACGGGTCGACAGAATGACTTTGGCGTTGGGATAGGCTTCGATCAACTCTTTGGCGAAGGCGCAAGCAGGCCAGTCGCAGACAGCCTAGAGAGGCATCAGCGGTTGCTTTCCTTCTATTTTCCCAGTCATTCAAGCATACCTGGCAGTCTCCCAACAACTGGTCCCATTCCTTTCTGCCAAACTCACCCACACCGTCGTACTTGGCGCAGAGAGCATCGTGCCACATCAGGCAGTCAGGAGGGTTCTCCACGCTGGCGGACATCATGTGGTAGCATTTGACGTATCCCAATCTCTCAAGGGCCTTGCGGAGGGCTAGTAAACCGTCAGACGACTGGTATACGGCTTGAATTCACAGGGTACAGAACATACAAGCAGTACCAGTTCTTCCCACTCCAAGCGCAAGCACCTTCATCGGCACTGTCCGGTGGCATTTTCTCCGGTCAATGCATGTGTCGCTAGTGAAGATATCTGTAATAGGCTGAGGAGCCAGGTTGTCGGCATGCATCATCGACATTGTATATTCGTGGCACGAAAATTATAGTTCTAGGTGTCTTGATTTGCGATAGAGAAGAGGTATCTCCCGATAACGAAGGTGTAGAAGGATGACCTTGAAATTCAGATATAACAAAAGACCCAAAGAGAGCACAACAAGTTAAAAGAGAGTGGTGTCGAAGCAGAGAACGGACGATGGAACTGCTTAAAAAGGAGATCCTCTTGAAATGCAGATCAATGATAGATACTACTAGACTAGACAAGTACTATTTCCAGAAAAATTAGCAGCCGGTGCCAAGAACGTTGTAACTGTAACAATTGAAATAGTGAATATAGAATGATAATTAGTTGGGTTATCCAATCAGGATTGAAAAGAGGAAGTAGTCCTGTTACAAGCAGATGAGAGCTTGGAGCAATCACTCCCAACCGTCTCACCTATTTGCAAGTTTGTACGGTTATCTACTCCGTACCTAGGTAGTGCGTAATGTGGCATCTTGGTAATTCTTTCTCAATTTCCTAATCTTGTTCTTGATCACGCCGTCTCCTTCCTCTATCTAACCAATTCCTTTTCCCTTTTGACTTTGGGGGTTGAACTCTGATCTCCCCTATCTGTCTAGACTCTGGTTGTCTCCTTTCCGGCGGGTCTCCGTCCCCTCCGCCCACGTTTTGGGCGATTTGAAGCACCGCCGACGACCGAGAAGACGTCACACGCTGACGCACCCAGGAAAAGAACAAATGATCGTCAGGAGGGGGATACTCTGATTCTTTTTTTCCACCAGGAAGACGTTTCTACGTACGTCGTTTGTATGCGTTCTATGTGCGTAACTGCGTACGCCCATGGCAAAGCTCTTACTTGACAGCGGGGCACTTGAGATGGGGAACAATCAATCGTATGGGCCTCTCAGAACGGAAGAGAGGCCTGCCAAGACCTCTGGACTGCAAAGCCAGAGATCGGCCGCGTGGACACTTGCTTGCTGATCGTCAAATTGGTCAAGTTTCCTTGATGATGCGGAAAGGATCAGTACGGAATTTCCTCGTCTGTAAGGCGCTGGGTAATCAATCTGTGCGCCTCCGGTTCCTGATTGGGTGCGGGTGGCGGTGCTGACGCGTATCGAACCTGACAATATCCGTACCTACGCAAGGTCTGAAACGCAGGTACCGCCCCACATTTCATTAATGATCATGATGCATCAGTTAGAACTTGCAATTCCGAGAGACCCCTGTTCCTTCTTCTCTGACTGTCAATTCTTGCTATGACTCGAATTGAATCATTTTTCCCGTGGCAAACGCAACTCTCAATGATGCAGCATGCGACTGCCCCAGAGTGCAAAGAGACACCGGATCACGGTCATCCTTGCACAGCAGCCTGACTTGTAAACCTGTAACGTTGCCAAGACATTGAGGTCCTCCATGGTCAAGCTTGGACTTAACTCCACAAGAACTCGGGACGGAAGGCAAGATAGGGGTTGAGCACCGTATCTTTTATCCTTCTAGAACAGGGCCGATATTCCGGGTGTGTGGACTGGGCCTCTTCACCCACAAGCGAGATGAGCCGTAATGGTAAGCCTGTAAGTCTGTAATACAGTTACGACTTGCGAGGCCGTCGGTTCCAGTCTGTTTCTCTCCCTGTTTGTCTCTCATCTCGTGTTGTTACCGAAATGGTTGTACGGTGGTCCACTTGTATGGCTTCAAAGGTTGCACTTTCTTGATCTTCTGCCGTCCAAACGGTCGAGGTCTCTCAGAAAGTGGACTTCAAGTCTGAAGGCAAGTGGCGATGTGGGTGGTCCTCTGCCGATTATCTAGTCTCCGCCTGTCGTATCGTGTGTGCCCATGCTCGCCTGATAACCATTGTGTACTCCGTACTGCGCACGAAAATTGGAGCTTGGCCACATTCATTTTCCCTTTGATTATCGTCGCCACAAACCAAAGTTCCATCTTCAAGAAGATCACCATGTCTGCTTTTTGATCAACCTGGATCGACTCGTGCCAGTCATTCTCATCGAATGAGTTGTCCCGATTTCTGACTCCTGAGTCGGTGGCCTGAGAGCCAAGAAACCAAGACTGCTGATTGTGATGGGTTTCTTGTTGATATGGTAACAATCTTCGGATGCTTTATGATGATCTTCCACTGCTTCCGGTTCTGCTTGGCAGATGGTACGTATTATTGATTTATCAAGAACCGTGCAAAGTGATCGGTGGTTCCGGTTGTGTAATCAGAAATCTCGCCGTTGAAGTATGGCCGCTTGTCTATCTATGAGTCGCCGTCGGCCTCAGTAGGACCTCGTGATCATCATCCCATGTAGCACCGTAGGGAGTATGACCCATGAGTATTCCAGCATACTGCTGATCTCTAAGAGGCCTGTGAGTTTGCCATTTCACTAATCAAGGTCAGCTCTTATACGGCCTTGTTCCACCTAGGCAAGTAGTGAGTGGCATGTAATCAGCTCATGTGATCGCAAGAGAAGCAATTGTTGAAGTCAAATTATTCAAAAAGGAATGGAGAGACAAGTTGTATTCGCTCAGCTATGAGGAGAACACAATATCAAACAAAAGACTTGAAGAAAGCCTGGCATTATGCCTTCTTATACCTGATGCCAAGACATGTTGTCACAATAACTACTACTATCGCAATTGCAGACCTCGATCACCTCACCCCCTTCAACCATCCCAATTCGGTAAAAAGTCCTCTTGACTCAGATCTCAGGCAGTCAAATTTAGCTTGCGAACGTTAATTGAGCTTAAATGAAGTGGCTTGCATGCTGATAGATCATAGATCTCATTGATATTGTTGCCTGTTGCCGTTGGATGGGTTAGGTTGGGATGTCTGACCGTGATGGACCCCGCTAGCCTTGTTCAAGCATCACGGCAGTTTTTTCGGCTGTTGTTTGCAAACCTCGTGACTGCCACTGTGCAGTACATTCCTCGTATACGGAGTACGGCTGCCTGACTTCTAGAGTCTCAATTTCCACGAACAGGGTATCGATGTGTTCGAAAACTAGATACAAGAACGAGCGGTGAATAGCATGCAGATATGCACGTCACGAGAAATGCGCCCAAATATGTGACAATCTTTAAATCAAGCCCTCATAACTCCGTGAGATGACCATATCCCGAGGTCACCTTGATGCAAATTAACGTTCGCTTTATCAATGTAATGGCAAAGCGAGTGATTCCCTCTTGAGATGGAATTGCCCCAGAGGCTTGCCCCCAAAGGGGTCACTCAAGCTTATCCAAGTGTTCCAGCCTCGTAAGCACAACCTGTTTGCTTGTTTCCTCGATTTCTCCCGCGAGAAACACCTCATCGAGAATCGCATATACCTGCGTACATTCTCCAGTTAGCACCATGGTTGTTTCACATCACAATCGCAGCACATCTCATGCAGCCCTCGATGTCCCCGAATATAAACCTCCTACATAGACCGCACGCACCTTGTAAAAGTTGAATACCAGATCCAGCTCACAGACGTTACCAAAGAACTGGTCCAGAACCTCGACGAAGAAATGTATAGCCTCCAGATAGGCTAGCTCATTGTCCGTCGCGTCAACGCAGACACAGAAGAACAGCCCTGCATATCTCCGGTACACGATTTTTGTACTCCGCTTGAACTCGACAAAGTTCGACTGATACTTCTGATCCCTGGGCGCGACGAGGCGATGAACCTGATATCAACCGGTTAGCCGTGCCGATTCGACATCGTATATCACAGGAAGGAGGCTCGTCAGAAGGCCACGGACCTCGCCTTTGAGTTTTACTTTCTCCTCATCCTATGCAAGCCACGAGTTAGCAAATCCTACCAGTACCGAGAAGATAAGACAACTTACGCTGTAAGGCGCATACCACTTTGCCAGGCGTGTCTTACCCCTGTTCATCCGTTAGAACGCAAGTCGGACTCAATCAGGCGAGGGTCTGTAACTCACTGGCGGTTCTGCACCAGTATAAATGAAAGAACCATCCCGCTTTTATTTCCCCGGCGGTTTGCGGAATGAATGAGGCTGCGTACTTGAGCACATATCACTCACTTCTTCCAGATGGGGTTCTCCGCACCGCTAGGTGCCTCAGTTGTATATTGCCATCACTCACCGCCTTCATTGTGAGATAGTAGAGGATGCTCGCTATCAAGGATCACGATGTTGATGGTGTCGATGGACAATGACTGCGGACCCGGTACTCTACAAGCCGATGACTGGTTATGCTACTCTCTTTAGATCTGGGGAACTCAAGAACCATTTATGTTGCGAATGTTGAAATCGAACTGTTATAGAACCGAAACTCCTAGGTTACAAATGCTACGACAAGGTGCTATAAATCACTTCTTCTGCAAAAATTCAAGGTACGGAAGTATTTGAGTCCGTTAGCCGTAAGTCACTCGTAGCGCCGTTTACCTGCCAAAGAACCTGGCGATCTTCACGGGAAATCGAGCCTGAAAGCGCCAAAACGTCAGTATAGTCTGTCACAGATATCAACCTCGAGTAGTACGAGAGACAAGGCTTACTGCTGGGCTATCAGGTGTTGCTGGTGCCGTTGAGTTCCTAACACTATCGCCATTTGATTCCGTGTATTCGTCATCATCATCATCATCGTCATAATCGTAATCATCGTCATAACTGTCGTCTTCCTCGGAGTGAGGGTAATCCCTGTTTGGGTCCCCATTGTAGACAATCCACCAGCCTATTCTCTCGCCTGCAGCGTACTTATCTCGAAGTTCCGTCAGAGCCTTCAAGGCAGCCGGATCCAATGGGGAGTCCTTGGCCAAGTCTTCGGGGTTCCAGCTGAGCCCGGGAGCCTTAGCACCAGGTTCGGAGAGTGTGATCACCTTGGCCGCAACGTAGGCATAGGGCTGGCTGACAGCGGTTTCGCTCGTTGTGTCTTCGGGGTCATACTGCTCGATGAATTGTAGGTCCGGTAGACGAGCTACGATATCCGGGTCCGTCTTCTTGAAGCATTCGGTAAGCAGTCGACTTGTCTCCGGTTGCTGGACGTATTCCGCTGTAGCATCTTCCAGATTGTGGAGAACGATGTAGACTCGGATACCGGTGAAGCCGGCGCGTGGCCACCGGAAGCCGTGGAGCATGTATACGGGCATGGCGGGAAGGAGCTGGAATCGGTTGCTAGATCTGGCGTCTTTGGCTAGGGAAGCGAGGGTGCAATGGCCCAAATGACTGTGTGCACAGCTTCATATTAACCTTGAAGTCGTGCGAAGGGCATGTCGTGGCACAAAAGGCATGGCAGGGTGGAAGAGGTGTTTGCTACAAGTCGCATTTAATCGATCATTTTTCCAGGTGGACTGGGGGACTTGGCGCTAACTCAAACCCCGTCGACGAATGCTTGGAGAATGGCGCCACCATGCGCCTTTTGGACCTGTTTGCATTGCTCTGCCCCTGTCAACAATTGATATGCAATCGATCAGATATCTTGAAGACTGCTTTTATGCACTAATTTTAGCGCAGAGTATCCCATGCGGAATCTGGGTACTACTGCACTTCAAAACTAGGTGGGTAATTCTCCGATCATCTCCACACTAGTACAATGACTCTGATGTACAGAGTGCTTATAGTGGTATTGCATCCGTTTTGTATTCTCTGCTTGAAGGAATAATGCAAATGTATCACATCCATCATCATGAGGTTGCTCCGTACCCCTTCTCCCAGCTGGCATCAAAGGTCGCCTTATCCACAGCAAATTCTCTAATATAATCCCTCTCCAAATCATGCGCTTTTCTTCCAAGCAACACCAGGCTGTGCAAAGGCGGTCCCATGTCCACCTCTGACAGTTCTTTGAGAGTGCCCACGACCAATTTCTGATCAGGGGCCCCGACTCTAGCAGCTCCGACCGCAAGCCTGTCGGGTCCAAAGACACCCTCCTTTCGTTCTTCCTCGGTTTCCAGCATCTGGCTCGCACATTGGGCGACGGTCATGTACCTCGGAGGTTCAAATATCCTCCGTCCTCTGGCCATGTTCTCGTACGATTGCTCCTTGACCTTGATATCCAGGAGCACTAATGTGTGAAGACCTAACTGAACGTTTTCCTTGACTCGGTCGTAGTAAGAGGATGGCTTCCAGTTCTCTGTGAAGAACACCATGCTCACAGTTTGTCCGAAATTGTAAAGTTGCAGGCCGGTGCAGCCGATGCCGGACATGATCGAGGCGTTCGGGATAACCTTGGATTCAATGCCCATCTCTCGAGCTCGGAGAACCAAGTCCGTATGTGTCGTGGCGCTTGTAGGCAATTAGGCAAAGTCGGATGTCTTGAAATGTAGGGAACCTACCCGAAAGGATCGCCAACTACAAGGAATGCGATATCCGCCTTGTCGGCTCCATCCAGTATATCATCACTGCCGGTCTCAACCAGTTCCCTGTCTGCTTCGATAACGGGGCGTCCATAGAACGCTTCCTACTGATGTACCGGTTCATGCTTTAGCCAGTTACCTTACAGCAACGTCTCTCAATGGACTCACTAGCTTCTCTTTGCTCACTAGCAGAATGCTTGTGTATGCCTCAAGGTAAACCCGCTCAGCTCTCTTGACAACTTCCAGGCCTCTGACAGTGATGTCAGTTTCATCAGCGAGTCCGAGACCAACAAGGTACAACATCTTGGATGGAAATTCAACAGCAATATTTGGTCAATGGACTGGACGTCTGTAGAACGGAGAATGTCATTCCCGTCCAGAATTTCCATCTTTCACCCCACCAGATGCGGCAGGATAAACGGAAAGCGGAGAAACAGAAGTTCCGATCATCGGAATGGTCCCTGGCCGCGCTGGGTCTGTTTCCTATCAGATCATTCTATAGTTCAAGCGTGAGTGTCATGCAGTCTGGTGATCGGGGAGTGTCATTCTTCATCGGACTTTTTTCTTTGCAGCCCGGCTTCTACGTTTGATTGACGCTGATCGTTGCGTTGAGAGTATCCAATATGGCGACCGATCGAACACCGAAGTATCGGCAGGAGATTCAGCAGGTAAGTTGGTGGCTTTTTTTCTGTAGTACTCTTTCATTTCATCTCGAACGATGCCTTGCAATATTCTCGTTGCCTATCCTTATTTATTTGCTGGTTTGACTGCCTCAAAGCTCCCGTTATCACTGGTCTCCTTGCCATGTATCGTATCTTATTTGGAACGTATCATGCGGTTGATACCCGATTTCCCTCGATATCTAGATCCTCTACTAGCGATGTATCGCCTTACTGTTCTATGGGCTGTTTTTTCCATATGCACTATGTTATACCAATCCTGCTATCATTTGGGTTTTCCTGTCTTTTTATCCATAGCATTGCTTGCTTCCCCTCAGTCTCACATCACTTCCTGTCATCCTTTCGTCAAAAGGAGCGATGCCATGTGAGAAGCAGATTGCTGCATTTCGAGTGCTGCATCCTCTGGTCAGCGGGCGAAGCTCGATCACGATGACGCATCTCTTGTCGATTCACGGCCGTCTTATGATTTCAAGGCTTCTTTGGACCAGAGCCCCTCAAATCTTTCGGTCCGGTCTGAAGCAAGACGGAGATGCTCAGGATGGCGTCAAAGAAGGCTTCAATCATTCGGAAACGGACTCGAGTTATGGTGCCAGATTTCGAATATCAGCTTGCTGACCTCTTTCACAGATGATGTTCGTCTCTGGAGAGACTGCCGAACCGTCCGTTGAAACGACAACACTGATCGAGGAGATCGTTCGCCAGCAAGTGATCGAAATCGTATGCTCTTCCTTCCAGGAGCCGTGATGCTTGATTAACACTGTAACTGCAGCTCGCACGAAGCACAACGTTGGCTACACGTCGGGGCGTGCGGTCTATTTCCACAGATGATTTGATATTCTTAATTCGACATGACAAGGCCAAAGTTTCACGTCTTAAAACCTTCCTTTCCTGGAAAGATGTCCGTAAAAATGTCAAAGACTCGGACGACAAGGGTGGCGCCGATGCTGCGGACTTCGCAGGTGCTGACGACCCGATTGCGGGAGGTGTTGTTGCTGGGCCCCAAGATGTTGCTTCCAAACCAAAAAACAAGAGAGCGCGTGTTGGCCTTGTGTGGGATGTGAACAGCTTCTACTCCATCCAGGTACCGGAGAGGGAAGACGAAGAAGATGAGGAGGAGGAGGAGCAGAACTATGCAACTCTTCAACGTCTTGCAGCAGCTGATGAACGGACAAAGAACATGACCAGAGAAGAGTATGTGTTCTGGTCGGAATGCCGTCAAGCGTCGTTTACCTATCGCAAGAGCAAGCGTTTTCGAGAGTGGGCTGGCTTTGGCATCGTGACGGAGTCGAAACCCAATGACGATATCGTCGATATCCTTGGGTTCTTGACATTTGAGATAGTCCAAACTCTAACCGAAGAAGCTCTCAAGGTCAAGGAACGCGAGGACCGGGAGAAGATCCGTCGCGGAGGAGCCGAGAGCGAAGCGGGTGAAAACACGAAGAAGCGGAAGCGAGAAACCGGTCTTTTCGATCCTCCCGAAGAGGGACGTACGCCAGTTGAACCAAGACACATCCGTGAGGCTTATCGTAAGCTTCAAGCCACTCCGAACAAGAACATTGCTATGCTCCTCCACAATGGGCGCATCCCAGCCCGTATGCCTTTGAGATTGGTAGGATCCGTTCTTGGCTGTGTTCTGATCTCCGTGCTGATATACTCCCAGATTTGACCGAGTTTTCACATCTTGTCACCATCTTACGACTCACACCGGTTTGTTTCGCGGCGTTTATACTTTTCTTTTGGCGGAGCTATGCTACGATAGATACCCATGAACTACGATTGTACGATATTTGAGGTTTTTTTAGTGAAAGCTTCCGTCATACCTTGCCCAGTTATGCATGCGTTACTGAGATTTCACAATATTGTTTCTAACATCTGTCTCATACTACATAATCAAGCATTCTGAGAAACATTCCCAGAATTTTCACAGCCCAAACAATAAAATAGATAGATTAGATAAGTATAGAGGAGGCTATTACTATATAAATAGCTAAAGCTGCTAGAATACCTATCCGAAAATTCTTAAGCTATAAGGAGCATCTAGATAACCTATTTAATTAGATATTTTCAATCTTAAGGATATGATTGCCCAGTCGTTATCCAGTTGACTAAGGTATATATCCGGCCTGCATCCCTAGAGAGTCGATGATGATAGTTCTGAGACAATACTCTTCATTGTAGCTTCTTCCCCTCACGCAGGATAAGTGGCTGCTGGATACATATCTCAATTCCTCTGGCCATATCCAGTAATTACTAGCAACTGCCCTAGACCTTCGTACAAACTCTACACGGACACAACATCCAGTCTGGGATCACTCCTCATGGACCTCAATGCACTGGCTGCATCCTTCTTGCACAACTACCTAAACGCCTATGCCGTCCTCAAACGCTCCGAACGGCCATGGGGATGTCCCCATGGCAACTTCCGAGTCGGTCGGTTGTCTTTGTGGAAGCCTTTTATCCACGTTAGCCTCGAACCAGAGAGGGGTGGCTCATAAACGCACATACATTGTATTGAATAATAATACCACTAGACCAAAAAGGCATCCGGACGATGTACTCATCAGTCTAGGGTTTCATATCCATAGTCATAGTGGTATCTTATTACAACACATTGTCATCAAACACGTCATCGACCTTGCAGAAATCTTCTGGGGAATCGTACAGTCTGACCATGTCGTCATTTTCTTCATCATCGCTGTCTAACAACACATCAATGGCTTCTGCAGCACCGCTGAGCGATGCCAGCCTTTGTAGCGCCCATTGGAGTTTCAGTAACTTGACACTTGGGAGGGGCCGATTCACTGGGTCGTCCGTCTCAAGCCGAAGCTTGTGGCCGGACCGAATCCTGGAGTTTGTTTCGACGTCGAAGAGATAAGAAGCTTCAGCGCTGCAATCTAGAGACCCTTCAAGAGATGGTTTATTGCTTAGAAGCATAGTGGAAGAACGCGGCACTGGACGCAGCCAGTAGAACTCGAGCTCAAGAGATTTCTGATCCTCGCTCATAGAAACCGGTTTCAACGCGAAGTAACCTTTGCCCCAGTATACATGCGCTTCTGGGCTGACAGAGATCCGGTTCGCGCACAGCTCAGTGTTTGAGCCCCCGAAAACATCGGCTTTCCATTCCTCAATTATACTGGGTGGCCAGAACATGGAGAGCGCTGACCAAAATCTAGTACACTTAGGACCAACGGCGGCACGAAGAGAGTAAGGGTAAATATGGGCGCTGTCCACACTCCCCTTCTTCGTTATGATGCATCGCCTGCCATCCCTTTCGAGAGACAGTCGTGTCGAGAGACAGATCTAAACGTCGCTTTTTCCTCGGGTTCGGCGTCGTCGGGGAGGCGGTGGTCGGGGTTGATGGGCTCGCAGGGGACGCAGCACCCACAGAGGTTCCGGGAACAGATGATGCAACGGATCTTTCGGTACGGGTGGTCAACCCTAAAGAGAGTTGAGTAACTTTGAAAGTGCATAGTTAGTTGCGTAGAAATAGTGAAAACACACATGGCTTGATGATGTCTGTGGAGACAACCGTTGTATACAGCGAAGTCGCAGCTAGGCTACCCGGGCTGATCTCGATCAGCGTCACATATTCTTCGAGCTTGTCGACGGGACAGAGCCACAGGGCGGCCCAAACCTCTTGCGCACAGTCTGCATTGCCGGGATCCCGGCCAAGGGCGCCACTTCGAGCTCGATCAAGCCTATCGATCAGCTCCTGACGACGACGGTCCTTCAGCTCGGCCCCGATGCCGCCGGAAATGATCTCAGACGCCACTATTATGATTATTCGTGATTCGGTAATTAGACTCAAAAGTGGATAAAATGGGGTGCTGTAGAACTAGGATTGGAAGATGGGTCATGTGGAGAAATTTTTTCATGAGCCCTAACCAAGCCCTAACCTAGTGAAGTATGAGGTCACATGATCCATGATGCGGATCTCGCCAAAGGGATAACGGGCCGAATGCAAGAGTGGAAGAAATACTACTTTGATGGGGGTACTCTGTTTATTTATGCAATGCCTAGTTTTATCCATGAAAGCTTGAGGTCATTTGCAGTTTTGTGTCTCAATCAACTGAAGAATGAGATCCTTATGCCAGAAGAAGCGAGAAATCTTTGGGCTGGAGTTGCCTCAGTTCGTCTTGACGGCAAAATCAAAGGCAATGGCACAAAAAAGTCCCCTGATCAATCATTTGTTTTCTCTGACCCACAGACCTGCCGCCGCTATCGTACTGGAACAATTCTACAGATGTTTTGCTGAAGAAGTCGGCCCAGGCGTAGGTATCGTTTCTGAAAGGTCATGCGTCGGTCAGGGAGGCGTTGATTTCCACATAACCACCCCTGGCTGGACATTTCCCCTAGTGATAACCCAGATCGGCGCGCTGTCACAGAGCACATTCATGAGTGATGGACTAAGCCTCGGGCGCAAGAGTTTATGATGACTGGTGAGGCGCGACTTGGGGATTCTACCCTTGTGAGAAGTGAGTACAGGAACAATCTTGTTCTGAGCAGGATCTGACGACGATCGGAGGACGAAACAACTGCAAAGCTTGAAGACTGTTTTCTCGGGATAATCGTATTTGATGTCCGCCATTTGGATACCAAATGGCAAAAAGGCCAGAACCGCACTATAAACCAAAAGCACGTTGATAATCTGAAGGCAGAATTCCAGATGAACATAAGACGGTACGCCATTGACGCCCGGATGTGGGTGACACTATCGAAAGGCAACTTTGAAGCTTCCCTTAAGTGGATACACCGTCGATCTACCAACCAGGAGCCAGCTTTGCTGGCTTCTATTAAGGTAGTTCTAGGTACTGTTGAACACATTATTACACTTCTATTTCTACTACACTACTGAAACCCTGCCGTGAATCCACCTGAAGTTGCGGGATTCCATGGCCAGACTGTCTATCCCCTCTTTGTCTTCATGGCAAAATTCATGATCCTGTCTGAGGGGCGGCGCAGAAGGCCAACAGTGTCATATACTCTGTGTCAGAGACGCAAAATCCAATGTAATCAAGAGAGACCCACAGTAATTATCTGCAGTCCAGAAGCGGTGCTTACATCTACAAGAACCAGGGTCCTCAGCCTCACTCTCCTGGCCCACCTCCGCAGCGCCATCCTGGCCAATGTCTGATGGTCGAGCATGAAGAGTCGATGCTCAAGGTTCGTAAAATCATGAACATGAACCCAAACCAGTTCCAGCAGAAGGTTCAATCATTGGTGCGTCCGGCGCCCTGAGCATGGTCAGCATACGGTGCATAGTACTTGAGGGGGTATTGCTGTGACTTCCTCAGATGGACTTACACTCAGCCAGTTCCTGCTCAGTCAATTGTCTGAGACTGTTGATGGCAGGAACATCACCCTTGGTGACACTTTTGACCGTTTCCACGGCTCTGCCAATCATCCCCTTGCGCGTAAGGGCATACGTCGCCATCTTGGCCTCGAGCTTGATCACGCCGATTCGCGGGTCTTCCGGGCCACCGTCATGCACACCGTCGCCCAGATCACCTAACCAAGCCTTCAATGCAGGCGAGTAGTACTTCTTCACGGTCTCCTGGTCCGCGACCAGAGACGCGGTGCCCGAGATCGAAGCCCAGGAGCCATTCGCGGGATCCAGGAAGGACATGTTGACTTCCGACGGGTGGACGGTGAGATCCATCGTCTTGCTTGAGAAGAGATTCGTGTGCATGATGAGGTCGATGCCGCCGTGCTCCTGTAACCCCAGTATGGGTCAGCTCTTTTCCGTCGTTCTGGTAGGAAGAATGATATGGTACCTGTCCTGCTAGCGCCATGCACCGCGAAGTCAAGAGGTTCGAGTCGGACAGCTGCGTCGTCAACATGCCAAATTTGGTCTCGGTGATGAAGTTGACCATGTCCTCGACTTTTTGCTGGAGAGGGGGGTCCTCGAAGCACTTGGCCTTGTAGGGGTCGACGGGCTGGTTGCCAGTGCTTGTGTTGATTGTGGAAGACATTGTGTATAGCACAGATAGACAGGATAAGAAATCAATATGAGCAGTCGTTCGCTTGGTAAACTAACTATAGGGAAGAGGCAACGAAGGCCGGCAGTATATATACGCCAACAACGGGTACGATTATCGGCTGTTCCGATCCCAGACGGACTGACGTATAGCCATGTCTATTTGTTTGAGCTTGGGACCAGCGACGGGGAACAAGAGCGTCTCCAGCCAATCAAACATGGAGTCTGACAAGGGGCAGCGTAGATCCAGAGGTATGTCTGGAGCACAGTATGGGTGATGATGATGTTGTTGTATGCAAGGTTGACCACCGAGATCTGGCGTAGCAGTGACGTCAAAGCAACATCAACCCAGAATTCTTGAGTTCATCGAGATTTCCACGGGCGATTAGATGTGTAATCACCATTAGTGGCTATGTGGCCATTATGCAAAAAATCAATGGTCGTTCAGTGGCATTGTTCATGTTGATCAGAGTGAAGAAGTGGAAATGGTAGTGAAGACGAGTATTCATGCCTCTGCAAATACATACTAGCGGAGCAAGTCTGGAAGTACCAGACTCTGATTTGTCTCCTCCTACTTAAGAGGACTGGTCCAACAAATAAAGCCAAATATTCGGACATCGCAATTTATGTTTCGATCTATTTATGGAAAGTTGGTGTCGAAAGGGAAGGGAAGCAGTATTTAAAGTGCTTTGGACAGAACAAAGACTTTCAAAATATTATATTTGTACATTAGATATTACGTATTTGGCTATCTATACAACTCATCCCTCGCCTTCAGATGGGCAGGACGACGGCCAGAGGCATGAATGTCTTCGCGAGAATTCCAGAATACTTCAAGCGATAGATCATCAGTGCTAACCACAAAGCGGCTAGAATGTTATATCGAGACGATCCTCGGTTATCAGATATCAGAATGTCACAAGTGTGCCACAAATTTCGAACAAAGCCCGAGTCGAAGAAGGAAAGGAAGTGGCCTTGATGAAAGCTCGCGCCTCGTTGCGATGCTGATGACAAGGACGCCCTGTATGATTCCTGTCTCTTATCTACATCTGACGCTGCCGACGATCTTACGCGTGTAGCTCACCGAAGGCTCTCTAAAA